AGGATAATATTTTTCCGGTAGCCTATGTTGAGTATCAGTTCCTGAAAGGTCGTTTATAATAAAAGGAGAGGATTTATAGCGGACTTAATGATGGGAGGTGTATCTGGCACTGGGCAAGGTCAAAAACCATCTAGTCATATGATGGTTAAGTGCTCCGTCCTCAGGCACCTAGCAGCAGCGTAGTGGTGTAATACACCACAAAATATGATTTTTGAGGAGTCACAGATGAGTTTATTGTTTTAAGTTTGTTTTATGTAAAAAAGCAGTTGTGGACCTGTTTGAGGGAATTCACAACGACTGTTAAATCTGGCGCAAGGTCCGCACCAATCATGCACCCAAAGGTTGGAAGCCATCTGAGTAGGGTGAAACCCGGTATACTTATCCTCACACTTTGTACATGATGAGCTCTGTTTTCGGGTTCATGGCTTGGCTTTCCGCGGTACATTTTAAATGACTCAGGTATTAGTGCAAGGTAAGAATACGATGGTGATGAGTTTTTACAGAGGCACGCGAGTCAACACGTATTGATAATTATATAATGTACCATAATATGATTTGCTGGATGTCTGTTGATCTTTTTTTTGCCCGTTTCATCTTGACTGCCTACAGAACGTTTATTTTCCGCTAGATGGCTTCAGTGCAGAAAACCCTGCTTATATCTTATTGTATGATGCCGTTTTTTTTAGTATGCGTGCTCAGCAACTTCAGAGCCCTTCTCGTCTGTCTCTCAGGGATATGCGATTTGTTTAATGTTCCCGTTATTCCGGTTGTCTAACGGCTCTTCCATTGTAGCGCTCTATACGGACCAGTAGTTTATCCGACATAATATCGTGGCTTCCTTTTATTTTGTCACGGTGCCTTTGTTTTATAAGAGGTTGACAAGCTTATTTGGGGATTTGTAGACCGTGGATACCCGTATGTACCTGGTCATGAACGTTTGATTCTCGCACTTGAGTTCCTTTTGTATGGGATAATTAGAAGAATGTGCGTTCGGAAGTCTTCTCTGGTGTTTTTCGTTACTTTCAGGTTGTAGATGCTGTTTAAAATCAGTCCAAATTGTTAAATTGTTTTCGGTGAAAGTTTTTGGATGCTGCTTATTTCTTCAGTTCGGTGACGAGGTTGCTTACAGTGAGTTCTTGCAATGTCTTATGTTTCAAAGGTGTAGCTTTTGAACAAGTTCTGTTTTTGAATGTCGGGTGTGTTTGCATGAAAATCGATGTAGAGTCCTGTGTGGATGGGTTTCAGGTATAAAGCTATACCGAATGTTCCGTTGCTCCTTTATAAAATTTATTTTCAGTTGTTTGCCTATTTATTATAAAAGTCGTTCCTTACCAAATGATTTTGAATTGACATTCGATTAGCTGATTATTTTAAACGTTCTTCTATTTTATTGATTTGTATTTGATACTTGAAGGCAGTGTTTTATACTTGTCTGAATTAAGTAGCTGAAAATTTGATAAATATAGTATTTGTTCATTTTACTCAATTTGAGAAAGAAAATGTTGTTTTTCCTTAGAAGGAGATCTGTTGGATTCAGTATCACAGTTTAAGAAACTCCATGTGCATCTTTTTTACCTTCATATCAGAATTTTTTTTCTAAATTACCAATCAACTAGTTTGTACTGTAATTTTCGTGCTGCAAGGGAACAAAATATGAACGCCGTACAGATTTATCGTCATCTTAATTTTCTAACGTATCGAATATGTCTAATTGCTAGCACTTTCTCAACAGAATCAGTCGTATTGATTTCGTTGCCCCCTCTAGTGGTGAATTTTGTGTCATATGACCAGCATTTTGTGACTACATCTTGGTCCTGTTGTCAACAGAGTTCAGGTGCATTCCGGCTACAAGCTTTTCGTAGCAGTTAAATTTTTAAACGGAGGTTGTTGGTCGGATCGAATCGGTTTATTTATTAGAGAAGTACCTTCTGCGCGCGTGGCGATGCTCATTCGCTCGCGTTGTTCCACAGCGTTGCTGCATGACATCGTTAGCCTTGCGGCAATTCCACCTCCACCCTGCTGATGACGGATGGATCTCACACAACCGAAAACCTGTGGCCAGGCTGTCGTTTGGCTGACAGACGTAAACATACACACGTCAAAGAAACTTGGCGCACTTCCGGCGGTTGGTCGGTTTCTCAGCAGCAGCCCGGCGCAGCGCAACTGACGTAGCCTAAACAGCCGCACATGTGCCGCCGTCATTGACTCTGGTGCTATGCATCAATCGTTCCCTCTCCACCTCACGCCTCTCCCTCACGCTCGATTCACCGGTGGTGAACGACGATGGCTAAAAGCAGCTTTTAATGACGTCAAGCAACTGGCACTTCGTCGAGTAGACGGCGAACCGACTTTCTGTCGCGTTGTGAAGGACTTACGCGAGTCAGCGAATGGAGATGAGTCCCTCAGCAACACCTGCTCGCTATTTTTCGCTCTGTCCTTCAGACCTCACGTATGGAAGGGGGGATAAACGATAGAAGAGTGTGACGAGAAGGAATATTCAACTCTTTCGGCAGAAAAACGATGGCTTCGAACTCCGGAGGTGCAATGTTTGTCGTAAACGTGAGTTTCCTTGAGCAAGGAATTTACCAAACTGCGTTGCTTCAGACCGCTAATGCTTAATCAGTAGAGCGTTAGACTCAGAACCGACATGCCCCGGGGTTCGAGCTCCAGTCGGATCACTTCTCTCTTCCTTCGAATGTTAATAAATCAGTGCCACTGTTTACGAAGGGAACAGGAGATCATGCATTATGCTTGTAACATAGCTGCTGTCTATTTTGCCTTCAAAATAAGGCCCATCTGATTGATAGCATGTAAATGGAGATCGGTGCTCCATGATTAACTTCATGTAAAGAATGGCACCAGTAATCCGATCATGAAAGCGTAAGGAAGACCGGCATTCCAACGGTTGCAAGCTTATCTTTTTTCCCGTGCCTTCCGTTCAGATCTGATCGGCGGAACAGCCTTCGTCTCCGTTGACTTATTTAAAATCCAGAGGCAGGAATGACATGAAGACCATTGATTGTTCTAAACATGACTGTAAAGTGTACGGCATTGTTGTCCATTGAGATCGTCACCTTGAGCCGCTTGCATCAGCAAACATCTCTGTTTTGTGATGTCCGTTGTATTCGCAGCTTCTCAACAGTTTTGCTATAAGGACGCTAGACGGAGATATTTCTCTCCGAAGTCACGTGTTCCTCCAGCATTTTCCTCCATGTTGCATCATCTGATTGACGTCCGCCGTGGTTTGGCCCCCACACGAAAAGCTTGTTGGCTTAAGTAAATGGTTTATGCTCAGCAAGTTTGTGTAACAGCACCAACCTCACTTTCCTAATTTCCCTATTCACGACGCACATCTGCCCCCAGAATAGGCGATTTTCATTCTTTGTGTGGTCTTGTCATTTAAAGCTTATTATGCATCAAAACAAGCGCTACTGTAAGCAATTAAACCTTCGATTCTCTCTTATTAGAAGAATGTAACAAACATAACAGTATGAAGGGGATATTTCTTCTAATCTGTTGGTTGTTAAGCCTTGGTACTTTCAGCCGTTTAAATCAGCATGTATATTCCCTTCCAGTCATTGACGGTATTATGTGTTTATGAGTTACCGAAATTATCTAACACAAAGGAAGAAACATACTCATTATGAACACAAAATGATGAGGCATTACCATCGTCCTTCAGAGGTAGACAAACTCTCATAACTTTATGACAAAGGAAGCAGAAAGCGAAATGCTGTATTTGCCAACTAGCTATAGACATAGCCTTAAATTAAGGCACTCATAACTCCCTGACTACTCGCTTAGAGCCGGATCATAAGCTTCATGAAGAGAAGAGTGTTTAGACTGCTGCCCATTATGGAAGTGTTAAAGGAGACAGACACTGAAACGGTAATAGATTTTCTTTCTTATGACAAACGGCGCCTTTCTTACTATGACTCTTGTATCAGGATAGACATCAACACAACCACAACTGGCTGATTTGAAACTTTCGGCTTATGATTCCGCGATTTTCAGCAGCAGTTCATTTTGGAAACTAGAGATCAAACGTGTAATGTTGGCTTAATATGTTACAAAACGTCTTATTTAGTCAGTTTCGATACAGCGGACAATAATACATTTAACATGCTTTGATGAAATGATTTGTTTGCCTTACCTTCGCTCTTCGACGGTGCGTTTACATCAACTACCAGATGGCAGACCGGATGATTAAAGAATATCTGTAGGATCAAATGCGACAGTACTCTGTGTCATAGTTTGTATTGTTATGAAGCTAATAAGTTTCATAGGGGGTTGACTTTCTTGCAACCCAAGGAAACAAGGTTCATTTCTTCTTCGATGTTTTCAGAAATTATGGCAAATTGGGATGAGTCGTGATATTAAACTGTGTTAAGTCTTAATCAGAGAATGTTAATAGCAAGAACGGCAATCTTCATAGGAATGGTAATTTTTCAAGTAGCAATGTTGTGTCATCAGACCCTGCTTGGCCAGACAACTTCCTCATCAGTTCATCCCAAATCCGTTCATTCTTTGATTGTACCTTCTATCTTGCTTTACAGTTTCGTACCATTCTTTGCGAATCAAAGTGTTTCCTCAACTTCTCTATCTTTCTCCTTCCAGAAGTGTCTTTTTCTGCAGCATTTCTCAAAATTTTTAATCCGTTGCCTCGGTTCTCTTATTGCAGACGTGACTTCCTCCGGTCTGCATTTCGTCTGAGGTCTTTATGTCTTCTGCCTCATAATTAAATGCCTTCTTCATCATTTTTTATTCCTTGTTGCTGTTCCTCTTTTTGGTCTGCTTCTTTTTCTGTTCTTTTCCGTGTATGCATCTTATCTTCCTTAATGTTTCTCTTCATTATCTATTGCTTTTTTTCTTTATATGTTTCTTTTCATTTTCCTTCTGCATCTTGTTACTCTTCTCCTTATTCTTCTTCTTCGCCTTTACATTCTTCTTTGTTATCTCCCCGTTTTTCCTCTTTTAGTTCACTTTCACCTTCTACTAACATGAATTTTATTTCTTTGACTTTTCTTTCGACATTTCGTCATTCTTTTTTCCTTTCTTATACTTCTAGTCGTTTCCTTCATCTCTTCTTCGGTTTGTCATTTTTTCCTGGCTAAGTGGCGGTAAAATTCGGTGCATCTGTGAATCCTTAGATTTTTAAAGGCTTTGTGTCATAATGTTTGAATTGACGTCAGCATTCTGATGCACAGCAGGTGATTTGGATGACGAAACGCAATCAGTCCACATTTGGACTGCATTCGTAGCGGCTGTTATTCTCCTACGAACCTTCACCACTACTGTAACGGCTATTTAGAATCCAACATTTATCTCAC